CTTATCTAAGTTCGAGATGTTTGTTAAAGCCTAAAGAAAAAGTGCAATGGTTGTTTGAGAAAATTTTTTTATTGAAAAAAATTAAAAAAAAAGTGATAGTGATGGTCCTACCCTCTCTAAACCATTAGAATAGTGGCAAAAAGGTTCCATAATGCTCATAATCTTACATGAAAAGTGATGCTAACCCCATGAATCTCTTGAAAATGCTTATAGTTTTTCCTTGTCTCACTAAAAAGTACTCTTTAAAAAATCCAAAAATAAAAAAGAATGAAAGGCTAAATATTACCAAGGATGAAGAAAAATTAAGTAAGAAAAGGAAACCCAAGCTTATATACCCTATATGATACCCCTTGCTAAGTCAAAAGATTATGTTTTATGTGGCACACCACAACTAACACATCTAATGTTTTTCGAATTGTATACCTTTTAAGAAATGATGTAGTATCAACACTAATGAGAGGATGTTAGAATTTCAAAACACCATGACTTTTGACTTACGTCCATATCCACTTACACTATCCCTTGGAGTCTTTTAGGCGAGCACGATCCCTAAAGTCATGGGTAATCATGATTATGTCTAAGTTATAATATCAATAAAAAAAGTCATAGACCAAACAAACTCCTCGAACACAACATGAAGAATCTCAATGATACTCTTAAAACCTAGATGAATTTCATGTTTATGCCATAATAATTGCCAAGATTTAGGGTGGAGGGCAAATGATATATCCAAAAAAATTATGAGCTATTTTTATCACGACACGTGTAAACACCTAAAGCCACATCGGATGTTTTACTTGAGAATAACCTTGGAAGTTCTACAATTCTTAAGGAATCTACACTCGTTCGAATGATCTCTCGTATGGATGGTTATTGCTTCCTTTGCTCCTAGTCCCACTCACCACGGTGATATAAAGTACATTTATTAATTAAAAACATCCTTTCAAGTTTGCTTTTGTCCAATCAACAACAACCATGTTGTCACTATGTATTCAACGAGTAATTCATCAACATCAAAGACATTTATCCCCTAATCAAAATTGGAACATGATTACAACAAAGAAAAATATCGTCTCATCCTCGACTCCATGTAACTTGACGAAGCCTTTGGTTATATATACAACTAAAAGGCTTAAGATTCTCGACTTTGAATCTCTAAACTCTTAACCACTATTCATCATCTTTTATATGTTTTCCTTAGTATATAAAAAGCTTACGCAAGCCACCATCTCCCTCAAAATGCTAATTTAGCCATCAAATAGTCCTCCTATCCGGAAAATGAGACTTGTTTTATAAGTATTACAACTAATTTGCTCACAATACATGATCGAATTCATCTATTATACCAACCAAAAGAAAAACCACTATACACATCACAACTAGAAGTCGATATAGCCTAATACATCTTTATCTTGTCTCTCTCTCGTCTCTAATTTGTCCCTTCTCTCTATCCATGAATGCTTCCTAGTTTTGTAAGGTAGGTTTTATGGAATTTTTAATGCCGACCTCAATTTAAAAGGATTTTATAAAAAAAAAAATGAAAGATAATTAGAACACATTATATAGGATAATCAATCTTTCAATCTTGTAAATAGATGAACTAAATTAAATTGCAAATGTAAACTACAACTACTCCTAATGACGTTTTTTAAATTTTATTTTATAACGAAACTAAATTAAAATAAATTAAATAGAGTCGTAATAAGTTTTAAAACTTCTAATGAGAAAACCAAGACCTCATAAGCTAGTTAGGTTGCAAGATTGTAGGGACAATAACTTTGAAATTAAAGACAATTTAGGGTAGAAGTCAAACTTTCTAATCTAGTATATATTCTAGATAACATAATCAAACTATAAATTGATCAATTAAACTATTAAACTAAAAACAATAAGCTATATAATATGAATGAAAACCCGACAATTAAAAACTAAAAAAGCTTTATATAGTAATACTACAATCTTTACAATATTGAATTCAATGAACTTACAATAAAAGAAAACTATAAACGGTTACATATAGATGCTCCGGACGTAACGGATGTTGAAGGAACTAGGAATGATGATTGTTAGCACGAGTAGAGGATTAAAAACCAACTATCAACCTACAAATTATAGTTTATCGATTACCACCTATTGATTGATGCCTATAAGCTATTGTCCATAAATTATTGCATACTTGCTATTTCCTAACAAGTTTCAATGTGTGAAATTTTTGAAAGTGCTCTTTGAGCGGTTTGCAATTTGTAAAAGTTTGCTTGTGTTTTAGTATTGTTGTGTTTCTCTCTCTAGTTATAATCGATATTTATAAAGTTTTACAAGAGTTTGCTTGTATGTTTTTCTCTCGATTCTAGTCGGTATTTAGAGGCTTTTTTCTTGTGTTATTTTATTGTATTGTGTTTTTTTATTTGATTATAATCGATATCTATTAGCTATGTGCTCCTCCATGACCTCCACTAATGTGTAACTTTTTCTTATGCAAGTTGTAGTGCTCCATTTTTATTTATTTTTTGGGCAATTCAATGCATTCATGCTATTTTTTTCTCGGTGCTACAATGTCTTTTTTTTCTTTTTATCCTTATGCTATGATTTTGCACTAACTTGTTTGTATTGTGTTTTTTTTTTTTTTTGCTAGAAATTTGTTATTCCTTAACTACATATACTCATTGTTAGTCGTTTTGCCCCTCTAGAATAAAACTTTCTCGTGTTTTCATTCAACTCATCTTTGTTAAGAGTCCGTCTTCCATTGGTTTGGAAGCAAGCTCTTGTTATTTCATCCGAACTAATTAATTGATCTTAATATACTTAATGTGCACGTTCGACTTAGTGAGCTGGGAAAATGACTCGTTCGTAAATGAAACAAACCCATTGGGTTTTTAAGTAAAACCAATTAAGAAGAAATGAAAAAAAAAAAACTAATTAAACCCATTGTCGACTTAGTTAGGGCGTTTGTATGTGAGTATTTAAGCATACTTTGTGCTACTTTCAAAATAAACTTTAATGATATTTTGAATAAAATTTAAGAGTTTTTCTCTATAATTTTTGCATATTTCTTTGCTTGAACTGGCGAGGACGTCGTAAACACATCCTTAGAGTGATCGACTAAGGTGGGCTTAAATCAACATTACATCGGGTATACTCTTGACGAATGTTTCCCGTAAGTACTATCTAAATCGGCTTAGGTAATGGATCTCTACTTAGGGTGAGTCATTAAGACTTACTTTATCTTTAATGTTTTGTTACTTGTTGATTGTAGGTCTAAAATTCTAAACTAAATAGTTTCGGTCTTCACGCCGATAATCAAGGCTAAGGATTTTATTTTGATGCAAAATTTTGACAGTAGCTAGTTAAGGGGTTTATTTAACTCCTATAAAAAAAAATCAATAAAATAAAATAAAATAAAAACATTTTTTTGTGTTTTAGGGGCATCAAAATCATTATAATTTCGAAATCTATTCTGTTTAGATTTTTGACTAATTGAAAACCGAGGGATAGGACGCTTGGATTGACCTAAAATTTGGTGTGCATGTACTTCTAGATAGTATTTAGGTTGTATAAAAATTTCAACCAAATTTGAGTTGTTATGTTTGGTGAAGACCCATACACTAGATTTGGGTTTGGAGATTTTATGGTTTGATGATTTCAAGTTTGTGATTGAGATTCTTCTTGATTGAGAATTGGGTCTATGATTATTGTTGTTAGAGGCCTGATTGGAATATGTTTGAGACTGTTTTGCACTGTGGATATTTCAACCTAAGGCTTTGTTGGTGGTTGTTGATTTATTCATAGGGCTTGATATCTCTCAATCCGACATCTTTATCCTTATGCTATAATTTTGCACTGACTGTTTGCATTGTGTTTTTATTGCTAGAAATGTATTATTCCTTAACTACCTATATTCTAGTCATTGCTGATCGTTTTGGCCCTCTAGAATAAGACTTTTTCACGTTTTCATTCAACTTTTGATTGTTAAGAGTCCGTCTTCTCGAAGAGAGCTCTTACGGTTTGATCTAAACTGATTTGTTGATCTTAATATACTTAATGCGCACGTTGGACTTAGTGAGCAAGGAGAAAGACTTTTCTTTAAATAAGACAAACCCATTGGGTTTTAAAGTAAAACTAATTAAGAAAAAAAAAAAAAACAACAACAACAACAACTCATTAAACCCATTAAAAAACTTGATGAGTTTTATCCATTTTTTATATCTAATTTATTGAGCGCAGCCCAAGACAAATTTGGACCTAAAATAAATTTCAATATAGCAGTAAGAATTATGCATAAAAATTTCCATTCGTTACTTTTGGAAACCACTTCGTCCCCTCCCCATCATGCTTCCTAGTTTTGTAAGGTGAGAATTATGGATAACAATTTCCATTCTTTACTTTTGGAGACCACTTCGTTCACTTAAGAATTTAATGTAGTTGAATGGAATATATTCATCCCAATTTCAACAAGTTAGCATCCCTCTACTGATCTTATTCACATCCTTTACTACCTACTTATGGAATCCGGTAGATTGAACCTTCGATGGCTGGAACATTGTTGCCATAGAAGCAAGCCAAAGATGAATTATAGCCGAGAGACGAAAATGGACAAAATAATAAAAAAAACATATATACTTAGATTATCTCTTTCCTGCGCATATCTACACCAAGCAACTGTACAGAATGATGGAACTGCAGAAACTTGCTTCCCAACATTTGTGTACATGCATACCTAACCAAAATCTGGTTTATTTACGTGTATCCTGTGAACTGTCACTGATAGCAGTCATCTGTTAAGCAGTTTACTCTATCTCAAGAATAGTTTCTTCAAGTTCCTTGAAGAATTGTGTTAGGATGCCAACAGTACTATAACATCATCATACAAGCTGAAAATGTTGCTCTTCACCTAAGAACAGCAATGATGTAGTAATTATCAGAACTACACGTGCTGTCTAAAAGAAAGAGATGTAGTCCAGAAATCAAAGCATGAGCTTTTAGAAATTACCTGATATCACCACCTAGACATTAAATTCGCTCTCCAAACTCCATTTAGGTTCGTTCTGACTGTTTATATTTACAGTATACTCCAAAAAATGCCCATTAAAGGCAATGACCGATACAGTGGCCCTAAAAAAGTCCACAACAAGAAGATAATATGCCAATGGAAGTGCATCCGGGACAAATTCATATAAATGACAGAATATTTTAAATAATTGTACATGAATAATTATACATAAGAATGAATAGCATTAGGAAAACCATACAAGCACATTTTTTATACTTAAAAAATACGGATGCATGCTGTTAACAAATGATATAATTATATAAAGAAGCTCATCAATGAAATTGAGACTAGAAAATATTTTTGGCATACAAGGATGCAAAATTGAAAAAAAGAATATGATTTCATCGAAGAAAAGATGAAATAGGCAAAGCTCCGATACATTTTAAAGCCATTTTTGCAAGAGTGTCTAATTAATTCGCCAAAAACTGAATCTAAGTAGATAAAAGTTATCTAGTTTCTAGCAGCTGAGGAGAACGTCAAAGGAAGATGAAATAGTTAATAATAAATGACAACTCCAAAGAGGCACTGCACACACACACCAACTCCAGAAGATTTTCTATATGAAAGTATATTGTTGTATCTGAAATCCCCCCATAAGTTAAGCGCCCCTGCCCCAAAGAAAGAAAATGTTGAAGCTCTGCTACTGAGATACAAACACAGGGGGAAACAAAAAAGGATAAATGAAAACTGATGAGACAAGATATAAACAATAAAGACTGCCATAATACAGAGAACTTACCTACAAGCTACAGATTCAGATAAACATGTGTCGGCAATCCTGTCTACCTTGCGCACTACCACATTGCTGCATAATATGACCTGATTAGTAAATCAATGAGCTTAAAAAGTAACAAATGTGAGCATGCATTTTAAAATGAATATGAACTGTAAACTAATATACATCCCCCTTTGAAGATGATCACTCAAATCATGCAAGCATATCTATTTTGGGATTAGAAGAAAAAAGCGCACACACAGTGTAGACTTTTTGTTTAGAACCAAGAACAATAACTCTTTTTTCTATTAAATAAGCACACTCTACATTATGCTGTTATTGAAACTATTGAAATATGGAGAAGTAATTTAAAAAAGAAAAAAAGAAACAAATTCAGCCTGTCGATGGTAGAATTTAGGTTAAGATTAAAAGAATTAGGTTAACCTATGAAGTTCCATCACATTTTTTCCAATCCACAAAAGTTCAGTTAACATGCAATCTTTTCTACCTCAGTCACCCGTCAAGTACCCACTAAGTTATAAATTGATCAGGAGTAAAGTTTCAAATTCTTTTACCTTTTAACTCCCGCTGGAACAGCATTACGAAGCACATGGTGATGAGCTGGATCAAATGCATCATTTACAGAATCAGGTAATAATGATCCAAGAAAACTGCTTGATCTTCTGCATCTGTCACGCATAAAAATTAAGCAAAAAAGATCAGATGACTTGGCAAATACTTCATAAAATTAATTACTGCTGACAAAATACATTTGAAATGTCATGTGATAAAGCTTCATGTGGCCTCTCATCTGCAACAAATTATCAGCTCTGGTCTTACCAATTGCTAACATTCAAAGTACTGCAAGAAACAGCATCCATATCAGGTATGAATAAAACCCCATGCTGTTATCAGCTAAAACGACAAAGGAATTGATACCCTTTTAGGGGAAGTCAAAATTGTTGTTCTGAAAACAACTAATGCAATTTCAGCTTGAAAGTCCACTAGAAGGAAGATATGCAATAGTTCTGGAGAAATCAGAGACTGGCTTTCTAACATCATGTACATGGTATAAACCTTGGACTAGTTACGTGCATTCGTGTTCTTAAAATGAAAACATAGAAAGGGCAGAATCTATACAAATCAACACGCCAAAATGCTTAATGAATTTGAAAACCTAACCAAAAATCACAATTTTGCACGAGGAAAAAAACAGCAAAAAATAATTAACAAAGCAAATGTTATTTATGCGAAACATGCCGTAGAGTGAAGGAGAAAAGAACTGACATGTATGTATCATCAGGACTGTATCGTACCAGTGATTTTATGACATTACAAGGTAACTATGGGGCCTTGCCGCATGCCAACAAAGTTGAATGAACAGTATCTATGTGACTTTATTAGTGAAAGCATCAACCAGACATGTTGTTTAGCTACAAAATATCATTTCTCAGCAATATAAATCCATCCAGTCTATAGTTCATATAGTTTCTCACCTCTGATTTATGGCAAGACCCAGTGAGAAGACATGAATGGAACCTGAAGAACTCAGGGCTACAAGAATATCTGGAAGCTGTGTTGATGGTCCAAATGACAAGGAAAATATTGTTGATGGGTATCTCCCCTTCGAAAACTATATGACTGCTCAAGAAAAACAGAATCCATAAATATAGTAATGCTATAACACCTTACTGTGTACTGGAATCTATTCTATAATGAGTCAAAAGAAAAAGTGGAAATACAAGAAATGGATGGTTGTGCATCATATATAATGAAAGGGTCAATATAGCACCTTCAAAAGTTTACCTGGACATTTGCTATCAAACTGATTATCAACACTAACTCCACAATCAAAAGTAGTTGAAGTAATAGTAACAATAACAATAATAATGATCTGAATAACGTTTATTTCATTAATCAATCTCTTTAGATTATTAGCACTTCTTCTTGACTTCTTGAGAGTGTTCTTAAGTTCTGCAGCAGTGCTAATTCTTTAAATACACATCATTTGTAAGCACATATAATTTGGATTTCATAGTTCCTATTTCATCCACAGTTTCTTGTTTCTTTGTCTTTGTTGAAAGTCAGTTAGGACCAGGTAAACAATTAGGCAGGGAAATTTGCCAGATAGGTTTTTACAGCACAGCCTAAAAAGGCAGAAAATCTACTTTCCCATTTGCCTGTGCAGCACATATGCAAACCATGTTTGTGATCGTGCTGACATGTCCAGACTGCCATAAGTTCACCATCAAATACATGGAGTATTGTTGCTCACCTTAGTTGCTTCTGATACCAGATGAACTCTGATTATGGTCCCCTGCTCAGATGCTGTTGCAATGTACATCCCATTAGAAGACACAGCAATCGCAGCCAATGGTGAACGGTGAGCATCTATCTGCCATGAAATCCAATAAATATATAAGTGAATTGACGATGACAGGAAAGAAAAAGAAAATCATTCTTTCTGATCCAAACACCAAACAAGAAAGCAAAGAGAACGCATTCTCAAAAAAACAAAAAAAAAAATGCACATGCAATTCTGCTGGCTAGTGGGTTCGAAAAATGTTAGCAAAAGGAGATGATGCAAATTCCTGCCTTCCTTGACAAATTCATAGTAAAAACTGGTATCCAAGATTCTTTATTTTTCTTTTAATGAACTGCTAATCAAGTTTTTAACATCCTTCTAAGAGATTTAGAAAGTGAAGAAAAAAGAATTCCTGGCAGAGATGAAACTTTTGGTCACATGTTACACATGTCAATCATTTTAGAAATATTTTATGCCGCAACCTCACAATGTGACTGAAGCTCCATCACATTGTACAACAAAATAGATCCTTTGGTCGTGCTTGCAGGAAGAGCCAAGAAGCAGCCATCCACACTAGGAGAGAATGCACAAAGTCCTGTGGAAAAGATGAAAGAAATCAGAAGGCAGTCAATGCTTTAAAATGATTTGGTCTCCAAAAAAAAAAAAAAAAAAAAAATGGGTCACATTAAGAATTATTCATTCTCTCATCCTTCTATAACTATATAAATTTGGCACTCCTCACTACTCTTTTCTTTAACAAGCACAGATTGGCACAACGGTAAATACAATAGTGCATCTAGATCATGCAATTAGCCACAACAAACCTTTTAACTCAGAACTGTTCAATTCATTCTCCAAAGAAAAACTAGTGTTTCATCTTCAATTTAGTAACAAAACATAGATAGCTATAAAAGCAAGTGTGAATGCTACGTCGACAGCCACTCATTCAAGATTTTCCAATCTCACCTTTTACATTTGGAACTGTATCAATGGTATCCAATATTGCTAGTGTATTTGAGTCATAAATGTAAGTCTTTTCTTGCAAAACAACAACAAGCCTGGAATCATAAACACAAAAAAGAAGAGCAAGTCAATATCTGACATAGGCTGGGCTACATTCAAACCTAAGAAACACAAATCACATTAAAAACACTTTCCCCTAAATCAAAGAGCAGCAACAATTAGTCAGTATATATACATATAATCCCACTTCTGTCGCATGTGCGTGGAACCCACTATGATTAACTCCAGTACAGGAGTGCTGAATGAATAATTCCTCACACCAGCAAACAAAATTTAAAGACGAATTTGAGAAAGATAGGAGTGTTTTACCTCTTTTTATTTAAGCGAACAGCCAGGACTGAAGTCAAGAAATTCAATTCGCGAAGAGCAGTTCCGGTTGTGGTATTGAACAAACAGAGTCGCCGTGGAGATAAAGATGGCTGTTTCAATTCATCAATAACAAATAATTAAAATAAAAAAACAATGAAAATATAATAAAGAATAAAAATAAATAAATGAAATCAGGAAGCACCTGTTCACCACCACCAACAATGGCAAGAAGACTAGAACTGTATAGCATTTCAACGACAATAAATGCTCCAGCAGCTAAAAAAAACAGTGATTTTTTTTTAGAAATTCATAAAAAATAAACAAAAAGAAAAGAAGGAACTTAACCAAAACAGAAAAAGAAAAATAAAAGGATGAGTTGCTTGCTTGCTTGCCTCGTTCATAACAGAGACGTCCTGTATTAGAATCGAAAATTTTGAAACCATCTCTGGTGCTTATCGCAAAACCACTGCAAAAATTTATTAGAAAATAAAAAAGATATTTAGAAAAGAAAAAAGGGAAAAGAAAGAAACGGAGGCTTAATTGAAAGAGAATAAGTATATGTTAGTGGATTTAGTATTTACCTGTTGTCTTGATTGAAAGAAGCGCATAGAATTGGATATTGTGATGATGATGATGATGATGATGAGGAGGAGGAGGAGGAGGAGTGACTACTCATAACTGAATTTATGGATCACAGTTGGCTCAAGGAAAGAACTCTCTCTGGTTGTATTCTAACAGAATACAGACCATATAGAATATGTTTTTGAGTTTGCAATAATAATAATCATAATAATGAACTGAAAACGGATTTCGGAAGAGAGATTGGGAAGTTTTTATGAGGTAGAAGACAAGGTGTTTTGTTTTGCTGTGTTTTTTTTTTTTTTTAATAATTAATATGGTCAATAATTTTAATATTATTACCAACTTCCATATAATCATTTATACTTAGTCGATGCGGGACAATTTACCATTTTATAAGTGGGTGACCTTTGTATGTCCTTTTCAGTCAACAATTGCGTGAAAGATACTATACGTAGAGAAGTCATACGTCACCTACCCTTCACGTCTGCTTCGAATGTTACCAAAATTTATTTATAGTGTGACTTGAAAATAAAATTATAAATAAAAATGTTTTAAAAACAAACGAAAAACATTTTCGTGAACGTTTCGATAACAAAACCAATGCATCACTTCATTATCCTTTTATATATAAAAAACATTAATATATTAATAAAAATACTCTAAAAACATATAACATTATTAGAAAATAACAAGTTTACTAATATATAAATAATATTTTTAAGAAACAATGTATGAGGATATATCAATATATAATTATAAAAATTATTATACAGCTTCTCAAAAACATTATCCCCAACTTATTTTCGACGACATGATCAAATATAAAAAAACGATCTTTAATTTATTTTCTTTTATACAATTAAAAATAATAAAGTAATCCATATTTTTTAAATTAATTTTATATGAAATTCACTTTCTGAAAAGAATTCACTTCTATGGACAAACAAATAAAAGGAACAATCCTAACTAGTCCGGTTAATTTGGTCGAAAGAAATTATAAAATACATACAGCTCATATATACGGGAATACCGCATATTAATTTTAAACTTTTTCTTAATCGAGTATATTAATTTTTTTTAATATATTAATTTTTTTGAAAATACTAATCAAGTTTTTTTATTTAATTTTTTGTCCGGTAACGATGCAGCACTTAATAGATAAAATTAAATGACTATATTGTTTTTTTCTTTTCTCTTCCTAAATTGTTATTATTTTTCAATTGTAAATTTGAAAAAATGAAAAAGAAAGCAAAGCTGCTGCTTTGGTATCTTTTTTTTTTTTAATTCAGTTGCTTTGTTTTTTTAATTAATAATTAAACAATAATAACAATTTGAAAAGATTAAAAAAAAAGAACAATATAGTTATTGAATCTTTTTTATTAACAGTCACATCATCATTAGAGGGAAAATTAAAGGAAAAAACTTGATTGGAGTTTTCAAAAAAATTAATATTCTAAAACAAAAAAAATAAAAATTGACATACTCGATTAAAAAAAATAAAAATTAATGTACTTATTATGTAGTTTTTTCTTTAAAAAAAAAAAATGTTTGGTGATAACATTCAAACTACCAACCTAATTAGGTGATAATTTTAAAGTTTGTTCAAGTATAATAAAAGCCCAGTCTAATATAGTTAAACGTTACCAAAGCCAAGTGTCCTCTTTCTAGAATTTATACAAGAAACTAGTAATAAAAAACATAGGATATCTTTGAAGGTTGAAGAATGTTTCATAATCGGCATAGTTTTCGAAAGAGATATATTCATCCTTGGTTATCAAATATTGAATGAAAAGAAGAGAGGAGAAAAATTCCTCCTCCAATTCTTGAACTCCCACCTTCACCCCTTCCGGAGTTTACACCTGAGAATGTCTAATGGAACACCAGACTTTAACCATTGTGGAGTGTCCTTTAGCACAGTCTCTATTCTTTCATCTTCCCTCCTTTGGTAGTGCTGGATTGCCATTGATTTTGTAGCCGAACGACATCTACCACCACTATTTCCTTCTGAGCGATCGAGTCCCAAGAGGTCATGGTTTTGACCATTCTATAAGAAAAACTTAATGGTAGATGCTCCTTCATTAGAACTTTTAACTTTTTGTTTTTTTGAAGAAAGATTATCTCATTTAAAAAGTTAAGCTGACATGTGAGGTCTCAAAATATAATTTATAATTTATATTAGTCTCTAATACACTCCTTCAAGACTACATGATCAACCAAACTTTGATATCATGTTAAAAGACTATCTTACTTAAAAACTTAAGATAATAGGTAAGGTTCCAAAATATAATTTATAATTTATATTAGTCTCTAACATTTTTTTCTTAAAAAAAAAAATAACATAACATTCTGTTGATCATCCTAATACATCAGGTTGTTAATTAAGTTCCATAAATCACCATATGTTCCCTTTTTCTTCGTTTTTTTTTTCCAATCAACATGAAGAGGCAAAGGAAAAATCAACACAAAATGAATTCTTCTTTGGATCATGATTGGAGTGGGCCTCATTGCTCTGGGTTCGGAAATTACATCTCAGTTCAAAGCGGAAAGTCTTGAGATCCAAATGGCTTATGATTCATGTCCAACCAACTGGTAATGCTAGATTAGTTTATTGCCAAAACCATTCAACTGCTGGTCCAAATCCAAAACTCTGCAGTCAATATATTCATTACCTTAGCCTAACCAAACTTTTGGCTACTTGCACTTGCTCAGGTTACAAGACCAATGTAGTGAACATGGTCTTGACCATACGTAAGAATTAAGAAAGGTCAGGGTAAAAAAGAAGAGGTTGGTGGTAATTGCCCAATTGGAGAGCGAGATAAAAAGGGTTGAAAGGACTGAGACCTAAAAAGATAGAGCTCTGAGCACCAAAGAGCCGCGTGACCCTGCAAAAGCGACCAAAGACAACGACCCTTAACAGCTCATACTTCGGCATTTGACGATACCTCACTTTCAGCTTCATCAGCTAAAAAACAGTGCATATATCACATACTAAAATCCCTCCTAGTCAAAACCATCGACATCATCTGTGTTAGGACTGTCTCCCACTTGGGGGCAGGGTATGTCATGATGTTTTCTCTTACCAAAACTGAATAACGTTCACACCAAGAACCACAAGTCACCTTTCTTCGTTTTGTCATACTGTTGGACCCAACACACAAGGTCCGCTGAGATTCTTTCGGTTTGGCTAGAAATGAAAAGGGGATATTTACATTACATTTCCATAAAGCTAATAACTCGAAAGCCACAGTTAACAAACAGAAACTAAACCTATACATTTCTTAGAACAAAGATAACTACTACTTGTAAAGAATTACTTAAAGAAGAAAAAAATCATTTCCCTATTTGTTCAAACTTCGCTTTTCTTAATTCTTTCCTGTTTATCTTGGACCAGAGAGTTCCATGGCATAGGAATCCAAAGAGTGTTCATAATCATCATCATCCATTGTAGTCCCAAACATACTGCTCGAACGATTATGACCACTTTCATCATGTTTTGAAGCAGTAGAAGGACAAAATGTGCTTTTGTTAGGATGAGAGAGGTTCATTGAGGGATCATTACTATGATTGTGTGATGCAGCCCATTTCTCGGCAAGACCATCACCTTCGAGCATCCGGACCACTTCGGACATTTTGGGACGATGTGCTGGGAGGTATTGAGTGCATAGAAGAGCCACTTGTAGCATCTCCCCCACTTCAATCCGATCATAGCTGCTCCCCAGCTCTTTGTCCACCAACTCTTCCACTTTCTTCTCCTGTTGTATCTTCTTCACCTGTCACCATTTTCGTGAATCAAAATTAGTAGACATAAATTTGAAATCTACTAATTCAGTTACAGCAATGTAAAACACAAGGAATCAGAAAAACAAACAAAATAAATCTTGTTCACTGATGTTGGCATGCAGGGGCTGACTATGTGAAATGTCCCGCACTTGAAGAAAGTAGATCATACTAGTCCTATGCAATTATCCCCATCAAAGACATCCATGATATATATCCTTCTCAAATGCTTTATAGTTATTAAGAGTGCTACATGTAATCTAGAATCACAATGAAGTTGCTAAGATTTACGCAGTCTAGAATCTAAATTATTAGCATGTCATCACGGGAGTACAATATGAAAGTCATGAAACATTTGTTGAAGCAGTTCAAGGTTATAATGTCAGCAGATGAGACTTACCCATTCAAGCATTGCTCCTTTTTGATTGACAGTTTTTCCAAATTCAAGAGCTCTCATTCCAGTTATGAGCTCAATCAAGAGAATGCCAAATCCAAAAACATCAGTTTTCTCAGATGACTGGCCAGTGGAGAGGTACTCTGGTGCAATGTGCCCAACGGTGCCACGGACAGCAGTGGTCACATGGGAATCTGCATGGTCTAGAAGTTTGGCAAGGCCAAAATCACCAACCACAGCCTCATAGAATTCATCAAGGAGCACATTAGCAGCCTTTACATCCCTATGAATTATCTTAGGGTCGCATTGCTCATGTAGATATAAAAGACCCCTGGCAGCTCCAATTGCTATCTTCTTCCTTGTGTTCCAGTCCAATGCAGGTTTTCCTGTTTGATGGATACATGATCTCAGGAACATTCAAAATGGCCCAATATGAATCATAGCACTTCTAGTAATAGATTGTGAAAGAAAAACAAAATCTAATTAGATAATCATACATTCAAAATTCACACCCTGCAAATTTTTTATGCAAAAAGGACAGTGAGTTCAGGAAGAGTTCCCCCAGGATCTCCTAAAGTTCAAACAAATTCAGATATGAGAGTAAAGGAAGACATGGACAATTGTACTTTGAGAAACAACATCAAGCCCATTTAGAAAAAATTGTGAGCATGAAAATTTGAGTTCTCTGATATTGCAATTGTTGAAATAAATGTTTGAGGAATTCAACTAGCTTTTTCAATCCAACAAAATAATATAGCAAAACTCCATTGCAGTCTCAAACTGAACACAAATAAAACATTGATAAATAAAAATAAGAACAAATCTAACATGTTCGAGACATGCACATGATCAGGTCAGAACCAAGGACACCAATTAAGGCCTCTGACAAGGCCAAAAAATGGGTAAGCACCATAACGCACAAAGAAAAGATTTAAAGTACCAGAAATTTTATTGTCCACCGAGCATTATTACGACAAAAGTTCCATAAGGTAACCAAGTACCAACCTCTAAGCCTTGAGGCCACGCTGCCATTTGACATGTAAGGATAAACCAAAAGTCTTTCATTAGAAGTGGCACAATATCCAATCAACCGCAGCAAATTGCGGTGAACTGCAAGGCTGATCATCTCCAGTTCTGTCCGAAACTGTGATTCCCCAGCAGTTCCAGTCATGTCCTTTAGCCGTTTCACAGCCATCACGGTCCCATCTCCCAGCTTTCCCTTGTACACATTGCCAAAACCTCCAGCACCAAGAATGTTCTTTGAGCAGAAGTTGTCAGTGGCAATTTGAAGCTCTCTGAAAGTGAAGTTTCGGAGATTTCCTAGGCTAATTAGCCCCTCTTCTTGTTTGTCTGCAACATGATTCCATGACCCATTTAAGCATTTTAATGGCTCATGGTGTAATTCATTAAAATTTAGGTAAAATAGGGTGTTATTTATACTAACCACTAATGTTGAGTATCACTTTGCCTTTTTGTTTTTGGCGGAGCCAGAGGAATCCAAGTGCTAGGAGGAAGAGAGATACAAGGCTGAGACTAAGCCCAAGTGCAATTGCTAATTTCTTGGACTTATGCTTACCTGCATAAAGAGAACAAATTAATTACCATTTGACAGAAAGATATTAGCTAAAAAAGGTAGATAAGAGAGGGACATAGAGAGTTTACCAGATGATGAATTTAGATAAAAAGGAAGAGGACCAGCAATGGCCGATCCAGAGCATCCTTCAGTGCCGCGGCTTCCACAAATCAATGGATTGCCCGCAACACTGCATTAACCAACAGTGTAACACCAAAAAAAAAAAAAAAAAAAAACATTAGATAACGCATTGACCAAGTAGACACTAATTGAAAGAAAGGATGTTGCAGAGAAACCATACTTGAATGTTCTGGCAGGGAACTTGGGCACAGGTCCACTGAGATTGTTATAAGACAGGTCCCTGAAATACCAGTGTGATGATAGAAAATACAAACCCCGAAGTGAGTTACTGAACGAAAACGTTGTGTAAATCAGAAAGTTTTCAGTATGCTCATGTTGTGTCGTCTTTCAAGGCACAGAAACATAAAATACAAACAAAAAACTGAGAAAAGAGAAACCTATACTCACAAGAAAGCAAGATGTGGGATTTTGGCCAAGGACACAGGAAAAGGCCCAGACAAGCTATTGTTGTTTAGCCTCCTGCTCTCATTACATGACAAAAAAAAAATATATATATATATATATATATATATATATATATATATATATATATATATATCACAGTAAGTAAATAAACAATGATATCAAAATAAAGCAAATAAAACCATTTGGTTTGGTTGCCGACCGTGGAATATTAAATGAAGACTAAAATAACAAACCCACTACCCAACTAATTCTATCACAGCAATTATTATTCGTTAATTTGCTTTCGCTTTTATAAAGCAAACAGCAACATAAAGCAGAAAAAAGACGAGCAATTGTATTTGTGTTTTTGTTTTCTTTTCCTCCACTTTCTTGGAAAACAAACAGATAACGAAGAATAAACATAGCAAAATACTTACAGGTATTGGAGACTGTTTAATTGACCAAGAAACTCTGGTACCACTCCAGAGAACCTGTTGTTAGAGAGATCCAAAGTTTGAAGCTCTGAGAGAGTGCCAAGCTCTGGAGGGATCTGACCAGAGATGTTATTGTTTTGCAACAACCTTCACATCCGCACCAACAATTTGAAACATGAAAAATTCAGCATCAATCACGAGGAGACAAATGGGGTTGTAACATCCTACTCACCATTTCACTTTTTCACACTTAAACAGATAAACAAAGATTCTCCTACTCTATATTTTGTTGCAGAAACAGAGTTTTGAACCATGAAATTCCAATTCACTTTTAGAGTTTAGCTCAAACCCAACTGCTTGGATGTAGAAAATCAAACTAAAAAGAAAATTCAAGACCCAGAAAATTATTTCCTTTCTTTAGCCTTACTTTTCTAAGTTACAAAAAACAGATGATAAGAAACTAAAAACTCAAAAGAGAAACTAGAAGTGGGTTCGTCAAAATGTGAACCATTAAAAACAAAAAATGAAAGAAAGAAAGACTAAAGAAAAGAAGCTCAAAGTTCTTACACTTGGCGAAGATTAGTGAGATTTCCTATGGTTCCGGACAGAATCCCAGAAAGAGACTGGCTTGGAGCCCCTCTACAATGCAAAACCAAGAAATGAACTTTATTTCAGGTTCTGTGAAACAAAATATCTAACATTAAATGAAGCCAGCAAAAACTTAAAAAAGAAAAAGAAAAACGAGAAAACCCACAAGCCAATGACAAGATTTTCAGCAGAGCAAGTGATCATAGCCCAGCTACAAGGATCAACAGAATCCTCATCCCAGTTGTTTAACACTCCATGTGGATCATGTAATGCTTCCCTTATACTTATCAAAGCATCCACTGCAAAACAAAAAAAGCCAACAACTTTAAGACATTAAAATCCACTAAAACAGTAAATACATGTAGAAAACAAATAGTTGAAGGTGCTGCAGCTCTTGTTAGTTACCTTCATGGTTTCTAGGTTCATATGAAAGAGACAGTTTAGCTAAAAAGAGAATGAAGATAGAGAGATGCAACACTTTGAAAGCCATAGCTAGCTAGCCAATAATTCTAGTCATGAACACGTTAAACAAAGAGAACCAAAAAATTGTGACTAAGGCAAATGTAAGTTATGAAACAATTTACTAATACTATGTTTCTTTTTCTTTTTCTGCTTTCCTCTCTTTTTGGTCACCATCTTTTAACACACACACTATCTTTTTGTTCTTCTCTCTCCATTAGTAGTGTCTTTTTTTTGTTGCTTTTGGTCTTGTAAGAAAGAGGGAGAGAGAAGGCTACAAGTAGGAGGTGGGGTGATCCTTGTTGTCAGTTGGGAGAGTGCAGAAATGAGAGAGGATGGATGGGTGGTATGGTACTCTAAATTGTTTTTTGGCATATCTGGGACAGAAACTCTTATTATTTTCTGTGTTTTTTTTATTTTTTGCTTGTTACAGCAAGACATTGAGGACTTTTAGCCCTAGAGAATCATCACCATTTGTTGTTCTTTGATTTGAGAGGCCACTCATGAACCCTTTAAAGAAAACCAATATTTTGAACAACATTTGTATTTTTAGTGAGTACTGAAGCCATTGTTACTTTTGATGTTCTGCTAGACCGCTGTACTATTCGATAGCTACCTATTGCTATTGCCATTGTCATCATTGAGGTCTATTTTGCAAAGGAAATGTTCTTAATTAATCTTTTTTTTTCTCTTACAAATTTTAATGTCAAATTATTTTGTATTGATATTATCATAGAGGGAGGTACTTGAAGATAAAGCTGAGCATTTTAATTGTAAATTGAATGGATACCTAATTTTATTATTATTATTTTTTTTGATAATGCGAGTGTTCGGATCAGCTTGCGTGCACCTCAACTAATCCTACAGACCCTAAAGTTAACGATCATGTAAGTTTCCTAGCCACCAAATGGAACAATCGAACTCGAATCCGAGACTACAAAAAAAGCAAACCTCTTGATATCAAATTTTTGTGGTTACGCCACCCCTTGGTGGTTGATACCTAATTTATTTACCATGTTTACTGATTAAAAAAAAAAAAAAAACTATGCTATTCAATGCGATTTATAACCATTTAATTGGGATTTTTAATTTGAGTAGACCTTTTGGTTTTTCTTTCAGACCTTGCAATTAAGCCTTCTTTTTTAACAAGTAGCCAATTTATTATTGATTGGTGCTATGATAGTGTGAAGTACTAGAACTGTACTAGGTTGGTCGTTTCAGATTGCCTGGCCCAAGTGGTGTTGCTGGTGTTGTACACGTATTTTATGCATGAGTTGCAATTATCAATAACAAGACATGAGCCTGAGGTGCTCCGGTATTACGTGGGAGCAAAGTTTAGCACTTTGTGTCTGTTTTCTTTCACTCGTAGAGTCATACATCCGATGGACCCTCACAAGGCATGCATACACTATTCAAGTTATACAAGAATGGCAATGCTTCATCAGTGATATATATAACAATTATTTCATAAATTTATTTTTTTAAAAAAATAGATATATATTAAAAAAAATACATCCGAAATTATTAAAAATGATCAGAAAATTTTTAAGTTCGTTTAATTTTTTTAATTTTTTGCTCTCTTTTTTTTTGTTTTTATCTCTTTTAATAGAATGAGTTCATAAAGTCATTACTTGTATATATTATTAGTTATTATTTGAGTATTATAAAATTTTTCGAGATGATAGTTTATAACCGGTATTCTTAATAATTTACTCAAGAAAGTTTGTTGAAATATGTTTGTTTATTATATCTAGAGATTAATTTTGCGATGTATGAAAATTTACTGGTGAAATTTTACTACTGAACTAAAAAAATAAAATAAAAGAACCACGTGAGTGCACAATGTTTTACTCTCCTTATTTTCTTCCGGTCTGCAAAATCTTTGGGATGTTTGATAATTAAAATCTATACCACATATAAAATTACTTTAGATATTGTGTTTCTCACATTCGCTTGTATTTTAAAATTTTATCGTGTTGACATTGGAGTCAAAACTTAAAATATTTACGGTCTCCACCAGTACTAACAAACAAAAGTGCTATCCCACCAAAAAGATAATAACAAAATCTCAGTGCTTAACAAACGTATCAATGCCTTGGAATCTTGGCAAAATCTGTGTAGGGGTCCTTCCTAGGGGCATTTCGTACGTAGTGTCGTTGATGACTACAATAAAATGCTTCTTTTTTCTTTTATCTTTGGTACTTGATAGTTCTACTTTATGTTCCATAATGGAATTTCCAAAGATGGTTTTTGATTGTGACTAGGCATCAAAATTAGAGGACAGAGTGTTTTGGATGCCTTAAAGTTGCTTATGAATATGTTTCGAGCATTTCTTTTAATGACTTACACCTGTCACCCAAACCCAAAACGGTTTACCCACTTCCTATTAATTTGTCAATCTGATTTAGGAGGGCCACACATCTGAGTTCATATCAAGCTTTCCCTAAAATTAGTTCCAACGCTTGATCTCACACATAATGTGCCAGCATTCTACTTTTTCCCTGTAGCTAATCACACGGCAAGTTTCCCAGAAGGCCAAAAAAAAAGGAGCCGGTGGTGCTTCCTCAATCTCCATCTCCTCCAGGCACTAAACTAGTGTTTGATTCGTGGGTTATTACACGATCTAGTTTTGTAGTTGATATATGTTTACTTAGGTTTTATGTTGCATATGTTAAGATATTGTTTTATCACATTATTTAATTTAATTTATATTTTACATAAATTGATAAATAATTTAATACAAATCTCTCATTTCAAGTTTAAAATCATTTTTTATTTAATATATGAAGAAAAATATTTGTTTGCAACATCAATAAATGATAATTTTAATATTTTTTTTTACTTTGTTATTTTTTTAATGTATGTGACTCTATTTGTTTGTTTGGTATTTAATAATATCGTTTTAATTTTCAAAATGATTATTTGATTTGGTTGAATTTTATTATCGTTGGTTTATTTTTTAATTATCATTTTTTACATAAGAGAAACCATAAGGAGTAGTATGGTATGTGTCGTTCATTCAAAATATATGTTCTCATTATTATATAGTAGAGATAAAAGACAAAAGATGTAAATTATATATAAAAGATTTAAACCTTTTTTTGGTTCCCACGTCATACATGACTAGTTTTTGTGGACATATCTTGCACAGAGAGGAATTCTTTTCTCTCTCTTTTTCTCATTTGAATTTGAATTATTAATTAATTATTTAAAAAATTCAAAAATTCTAAGACAAATCATCTAAAATACGCATGTAACCTTTAAATTATATATATAATCATACTCGGTCTTATTTAAAAATCATAAAAACTCATCACATAAACTATCTTAGTTTTTGCTTAAAAGAAAAGGAAACAAAAGAGAAAATGATCATGTTTTAAAATTTAAGTTCAAAATCCATATATAGAGAAAAATAAATCATATATGTTAGCAAATAAAATTTAATTAAATGAGAATTTTCATAAAAATGACAAACTGAAGGAATTAATTTTAAACAATAACGATATTATAATATAAAATATATGTTCATTTAAAAATATGAAACACATTATATATATATATATATATATATATATATATATTGCCAGTTTGTTCGGAAAACCTAAAAAATAACGATTGATTTTTTATAATTTTTACCAAAAAAAAATCAATAATTTAAAAAATTAAAATAAACTACTGAAAAAAAAAACCAAACTAGTGAAATGAAGTTTTGAAATGAAACAAAAATATATTAAAAAACAGAAGATAAAGTGTAATATTTACAAAAACTTATATTTCAAATGCTTGAAAATAGCTTTTAAATCACACAAATACTACAACAATTTGCATATCACGTATCTTTTTTTTAAAAAAAACTTTATATATATATATTGTAAGTTTGTGTGAAAAACCTAAAAAATAACTATTGATTTTTTATAATTTTTACAAAAAAAAAATTAATAATTTAAAAAATTAAAATAAACTACTGAAAAACAAAAAACCAAATTAGTGAAATGAAATTTTGAAATTAAACAAAAATATATGAAAAAATAGAAGATAAAGTGTAATATTTACAAAAACTTGTATTTCAAATGCTTGAAAATAGCTTTTAAATAACACAAATACTACAACAATTTGCATATCACATATCTTTTAAAAAAAAAACTTAAAAATTACAATAATGCTGCTATATAGTGAAAAAACAGTGTAAATAAGCCTTAATAAATAGTAAACTGAGCGTGGATAGATAGGAATAAAATAAATAGTAAATAATAATTTTGTTTTAGTATTTTTTATTAATTATTACAAAATATTGTGCAACTTATTCCATGGTAGGATCCAACTATTGTTTACAATTTGGTTTCTGATGCTTTTTAAAGCGATTTTTAAAATGCTTTTTATTTGAAAGAATATCAAATTTTAAAACTTAATTTCAATAACAATACCAAACGTTATAATTAATAAGCTAGCCCTTGCTAGCTAGATGGATTCCTCTGTCAGGAGAAAATCAGACGAGATGAGATCAAAGTTAGAATAAAGCAATGATTAAAAAGGGTCCTAATTATAATAAATAAACATAACACATGAAAAGACGTTGGCTTTCTACAGTGCTTGTTCTTGGAAACATGGAAAAGGATGTGATGCCTCCCATAAGCTTTTCCCTTCAAGAAATATAGTTTAATGCAACATCACCAATACGCAAAGACTATATCAGCCCAACTGAAATCATTTCTTGGATTGACTGTCACAGTGTCCTTTGCTTATCTTAGTTTCAAAATTCTGAATTTCTGAGCCACAAATGGGGTAGCTGTTGGCATTATTAATTTTTTGACTCTCTACCGTCGGAATATGATACTATTGCTCCTCATGATCTTCTTCTCTCTTTTAAAAGTCTCAATATTCACGTAAGAAGATCTTTCTTATTAAAAATATATATATGTTTGTGCAATTGGAAAAATTTCGAAGGGAAATCTTTCAGGATAGATTCTTGCAACTGCAGCTTTTTCTTTTTCTTTCTTCTTCTTTTTTTTTTTTCGAACCATCCATTGCAAC